TTTTGAGTGGCAGGGGTGAAAATCGTTGCAACCGCGGGCTGCTGCCGGGATGTGCTCTGCGCCCTGCTCCTCTGCTCACAGCACCCACCTGTGAGAGCTGGCTACCCACACGTGCGTACAGGTGTGCCCTCAGCTGTGGCTTTCACCTGCAGGTCCCAACCTTCTGCAGGGACATTTCATCTCCTTGCCGCCCTTGGTTTATCCCTCAGCGGCTCCTTTGCCTTCCAGAGTCACATTACTCCCAGAGAGGGGTTTTATCCCCCACAGAATTTCTACTCCAACCTCGACCTGAGGGAAGGGGATGTGCAGAAGATCACTAGGTAAAAAAAGCACTGATGTGGGGGATGAAGCAATGACCCACATCAAGAGTGGGAGCGCCTTTACTTCTAGTTCTTGCAGGACTTTCCAGAATGCCGGTGTTCAGAGGTGCATGGTAACTTGTGCAAACACATTGGAAACCGAGATCTGTCGGCCTTTACAGCCATTCAATTCTCTAGCCCCTTTTTCTTTCCAGCCTCTGCATCTACAACTATTGACAAATCTTGTCCAGCCTGGTTTTTCTCACTTGTGAGCTACCACATCCCACTGCCACTGAGTCATCCTGGCCTCGTTCACACCACATCACCAGGATTGATGGCAGCAGGGACAACCAGCAAGAGCTAAGCCCGCAGGGCTTTTCCTTTTCAGATCAAAGCACTTCACACAAAATATTTCAGTAAAGACCAAAGAAAGCTGAAGCAGACTTTGGAGTGTATCGAAATTGGCAGCAACTTTTCATCAGCCTGAACGTAAAGCAACTGTATTGTATTGGCTTTTTTTTTTTAAAAAAGAAAGGAACATTTTTGTTTACAGCCATTTTAGTTTATAAATTTGTTTTTGAAGTTTTGTTAAAAACGAAAGGACTGTTCTAAAGCATGCTATTGGGCTGTATTTGATTAGGATTCCTTCCTACTATGACAGACAAAAAGGTTGCTCTGTTCAACAACGCATTGCTGAAGGGGTTTTAGTGAAATCCCAGCAATGGGAGTAGGAAGCATATGTTTCGGTTTAAAATGGTGAGGAAAAGAAACTCGTTGTTGCTTCAACTTTTTCCTTAGCTATGTTTTTGAAGGCTCCTGGGATTGTCAGTGCTCAGGAGAGAAGCATGAGTCACACAGTCACCACAAAAAAGTCTAGCACAGTGTCGGCTGAACTTACGTGGCCTACAAATACCCCTCGCAATGGTTTGAGGGTTCCCAGTTCTGCTATAAAACTACACCCTAGTTGACCCATCCCTTTTTGCTAGGCACACACACATCCTTCGGTTCAAGTTCAGAAAATAAACACAAGCAAGCAACATCAGGTTTAACGACTAGAAATAAATATTTCAAATACCAGGGAGAGGAGTGTTGTCTCACTCTCTGTAGCAGTGCTATTCACTCCTTTTTAATGATTTGCAGGTGTCTAACTGTTTTCCATTCAAGGTGTAGGCACACTACGGTGGATTGAGACCTTCCAGCAAGTTTCTTTCCTCTGATGACTTTTCATAGACCCCTTCAAAGCAGTCCACAGACACACATGGGCTCACAACTTGAGCTCAGGAACTGTGTGTAGAAAAGGAAACATGAAATGGAACGGGAAAGGAGAACTTCCAGGAAATAGAACAAAAAGGCCCAAATCATCTGCCAGATATCACATCTCATGTCACTCCCACACACCATGATCTGTCATGAGTTCAAGCATTGGAAGAAACTTTGGGTTTCCACCAGGGCAGCAGGCAGGGTGAGGATCACAAGAGCATGCCACAGCCAGTGAAGAGATGACTGCAAGGTCTATTCTGCACTGAGAAAACAGCTGGGGAAAAATATCCCTTGGGGATAGGAATTGCCGACATGGCAGTCTCTTATCCTTTAGAAGTGTAACAATGCCAACCTTCATGCCGAAACCCCATATAGGATCTGTGACCAACTCACTGAAAGCAGTTACCTGTGTCGTCCTCAGAAGAGTTTCCTCCTCTGAGTATATGGTTTTGTTTATGCATGCAGACTCAGAACACTCAACACCAAAGCTGCTAAAGAGAAGGTAGGGCTGGGCAGAAACCCCTGCCGTGAGCAAGAGCGTCCCAGAGAACAGATGTCCTGCCCTCAGCCCCGGCAGGAGAGCCCCGCACCCTCACAGCCCCCAGCATCCCGGCATCTCTCCCAAGCTCAGGTTAAGAGCATCAGAGCAATTCTTGGGAGCAGCCTTCAGGATCTCTGAAGACTTGGCTAAAATAATGGTTTGATGACACAAAAAAGACCCACCTTTAGCTCACACCACCACCTCAAAACCAGTGATACCTTGTGAAACGCAGAAGTGATCCAATACAGACTCCTGCTGCAGATTCACATTTGTTCAAAAAATGTTGCAGTTTGCTTTGTATCAGCAGGCTTCATGCTGGGTAAAGAATCATTTCTTCACCAACAGCTAGCAAAAAAAACTAGTCAGAGCTTTTTCCTCCTCGCCTGAACAATCATAAAGCTACACCCTGGGGCTGGAGTTTCCTTAATTGCTTCTCCAACTGCTTTCCCTGGAGCCCCCTCTTAAGTTAGATGAATATAAGAACTACAAAGTTTTACGAGCCACCATCATACAGCAAGTATCTCAGTCTCCAAGTCACCATTCCTACCCATAATATCAGATGGCAAATCCGCATCCTTTCTTGAGGATCAAGAAAAATATGATTCACCAGTGTCGTACCAACGTATTTACTGTTCCAGATACAGTCAAAAGGTTTTCACCTCACACATGCAGTTGTCTTTAAGACTGAAATTACAGCATTTCTTAATCCTAGCTTCTCATCAGCATGGGGTGTAGGCAAACTACCAGGAAATCTGCCTACCTCTTCTTGAGCTCCATTACTGACATTCAACATCTTCCAGTGCAGAAGGGGAGGCTACAAATTGTCAGCAAACCAAGTAGCTGGGCCTCACCTCCTCAGAAGACACAGCATTTGAGCTCTAAGTTTAAGCCTTTTACCACATTCCCAACCTAAACATCGGAAAGCATTTGCTCCATGTATACGACATCACATATGTACACATATACAATGACACAGTGCAGAAATAATGGCTTCTGATATAGCACAGCTGAGGACAGACACCACCTTCCCAGAGCAGGGAGGGCACTGTCTTTATGAAAACATGATCCTCGCCAGTCAACAGTACAAGTCAAGAAACTACCCAAGCCAAATCTAGGAAACAGCAAGGACTCCATGCAGCACAAGAGCCCTCAGGCACTCGGGGTGCTCAGACAGTGACCCTGACCTGGGGGGGGAGGCCCACGCACGGCCAGCTCTTTGCCATGAGAGCCAGCAAGTTCAGGCACTCTGTCAAAAGACAAACACTTCAGTTCCAAAGTGTTTGCTCCACATTATGTAAAGTCACCTCCGTTTATCTCAGTGGACTCTCTAATAAAAGGGTTATTGCACCTGAGAGGGTAAAACTCCTTGTCAAGGCCAAACATACCAACCACCTTCTCCTTTGGCCAAGGCCCAGCGTAATCCAGGAGCACTCGATTGATTTGGTGACACTCAAACAAGATGCTTCAGAGACTTCTAACCAGAACGGACAATACCACTCTTGACACTTCACAATTTTCATCCAAAGAGACCTTTGCCAAGGCAGAACGTTCTTTACTTAAAAGGAATCACCAAAAGAAATCAGACCCTGGAGGTGAAAGACAGGCTCTGTACTAATGCACTTGATGCTCTATCCTTAAGGAGGCACTTCCAAACAGAAGGAATATCAAAATCCATGTGACATCCTACAACACAAGACAGACTCACGGCCTCTGGGACACACAACAAGGACAAGACTGTAATTTTGAGCAGACACAACCAGGAAGTTCTGCTTCACTGCTGAACACCTGATACTCTCAAAACAAGTTACCTCTCAACAATGTCTTACCCATTAGCCTAACTAAAATTTGAGTGCAGAATTTTTAAGTGTCCAGATACTCCAGCAAGGACAGCTATATAAAGAGAACTAGAGCACTATTCATGGTTCATAGGTTAATTCTGATCACTTTTAATGGATTGTACTGATTTCTACACCTGGTTTTATGAAGTGCATTATATTCCATATAGACACGATGCCATCTGGTAGATGAAGTATATCTTCTGCCCCATGATGAAGCAACAAGTGATCCCATAAGGCTCTTACTGACAACTTCTCAAAAAAATGTTATTTCTTGGCTAATTTCAGCCTAAATGATTCTGTGAAAGAGTTCTTGTTGAAAAAAAGCAGAACGCACTCCAAGTTTTGCTCATAGGCCTCTCAAATCGTTTCCACAGACAGACTAGGATCATATTGCAACAGAAGGACCTTCCAATAAGACAAAGTTGACTGACACATTTTACTTTCCAGTGTATAAAATCTAGTTTTGCACTTCTTCCTATAGAAATATACCCCAAGTAAGAAGCAATGGGTTAGACGCTAGGCAGAATCCCTACCATATAAACTGAAGCTAAAGGGTAAAAACACAGACTGCGAAGTCCCAGGTAAAACCTTTCAAATACAGCAAGACTTTGGCTACATTCCCTTTCCCATAGCCAGGTACACTAAGTTAGTTACATTAACTAACAGACCTTTTAAAAAGTTAAAAAAATCCAATCAACCAACAACAAAAAGTCACATCAACTTTAATCAGTGGACTTCCACCTGAAGAAGAAAGCCTGAACACAGTAGGCAAAAAGAAAATCCTGTTTCAAGGAAAATACCATCTCCAATATTCATATATCATGCATTAGAGA